TCAATGTTGAAATCTAAGTTCAGTGGCAACCAAAAAACCCTAGATCTTGTACCCAGGTAGCTAAGCACAATGGTGACCAACAAAGAAACAGAAAATTTTGAAAAAAAAAAAAAGAGAATGAATGGGAAATAACTTCTACCCATTTGGATCGACAGCAACAAGGTAGATGGATTTGGCAAATGGCTTCTTGTTTGATGGTAGCAGTCTAGTCTGTCCAGATTGATTGGCAACACACACACACACACACATATATATATATATATATATATTTTGTTGCGAGGACAGGGATCCCCACAGGTTTCGTGGGGCGGGGAATTTTGCGAGGGGAAAATGCCTCTCGTCTTCGCCCCATCAGAAAGAATATTTTTTCTCGTCCCATTCCTGTGACGGGGATCTTCGTGAGGTTTCATGAGAATCGGGGCAAATTATCATCCCTAATCATCAGCATTTGTGGCGGTGCTACCTAAAATAACATTAAACCCATCAATTTAGTCTTTTAGTTATTGTACTAATTTTTTAGTTTTTTAATTAAAATTTTTTTTAATTTGATCTTTAAAATTTTTAATTTTGATTTTAAGTTAGTCACTCCATTAAAAAAGATAATAACATGTCCCATTATTTGATAAAAAGGGATGCCACGTCAAAAATTAAACATGTGCATCATAATATGAAAAATAAAATTTAGAAAAAAAAAGGTTGATTTAAAAATTTAAATAATAAAAAAGTAAACTTAAAACCCAAATGACTAAAATGCTCCTCATATTCTTCTTCCCTACTTCTCATCATTCGTACAAAATTTTTGGAAGCATTAAGCTCCTCTTGAGGATCTTCCTCACCGGCCCCTCACTTTGTCGTGTCTCTTTCTCCGACTAGAATTAAAGCTTCATTCCTTTGAATTCTTTGAGAAGAACTAATGACTCTAGATGAACCCATACTCCTACAATAAATCAAATTAAAAAACAAGAATAATTTGAACTAGATTCATCTCTCTCTAACCATAATAAACACATTTAAAATAAGAAAAGGTAAATGGAACAATGTAATTGCACCAAACTAGAAGTCCTTCTTCAGTCCGTGTCTTCACTCCGAATGAACCTGCAAAGCCCCGAGGTGGATCCTCAAGGTAGACACTCCGATACTTAAGTTAGCAATAATCAAATCTACCTTTAGAATAATGAAAAAAGGAGCTTTAGGTCGGTTTCAATTACCCTTTTGAGATGGCATCTAAGGGGTATTTATAGGCTTTAGTGAGGTGCCCATGTGACTTGCTTAACAAAATAATCGAAGTCTAACGTATCCTTTCATGCGATAATTTTGGGACCGGGAAATCAGGTGTGGACATGTTCACTATACCTGTCATGCAGCCATTTGATCGCGAAGTGTTGGATTTAACTTTACTTCGGTTATTAAGGAACCATAGCAATACGTCCGAAGTTAAGGACTTCGGACCTATCCTTACACTATTCCCCCCTCGAAGTCATTTACTTGTGAATGATGTAGGTATAAGTGGTAAGGGAAATGTATGTTTACTTTGAAATACATAATAAAGTGTGATGAAATATCACATGACCGATTAAGGGAGGAAGCATGTTTGTAGAACTATAATATGATTGTCCTAGCCGAAATAAAATTATCTGAGTTGTAACCATTTGAAAGAAATTTGGTGACCCAGGGTCACAATGGTCGAAGCTAAAGTAAAAAGTAATGACCGGAGTCATTATGGTCGGGGCCGAGGTAATAAGTAATGACAAAGGTCATTTGGGCCGGAGCCGAAGTAACATAGGTGACTCAAAGTCACTATGGCCAGAGTTGAGGTAATAAGTAAGGACCTGGGTCCTTATGGTCGAAGCTGAAGTAACAAGTGATGACAAGGGTCATTATGGCCGGAGCCGAGGTAACAAGTAAGGACCGGAGTCCTTGTGGTTGGAGCCGAGGTAAGAAGTAAGGACTGGAGTCCTTGTGACTGGAGTTGAGGTAATAAGTAAGGAGCGAGGTCATTATGGCCGGAGCTGAGGTAATAAGTAAGGACTGGGGTCTTTGTGGTAGGAGTCGAAGTAACAATTATAGGTCGAGGTTACCCGAGATGAAACACTTATAAAATTGAAAGACATTCATGTGAAAGTAAACAGATGTATTGGGTTAGGCTTAATTGAGCATGTTTGAAAAGCTTGACATAGAGTTAGTACATGACGCGACAGCTATCTTTTGAAAGACGTGTACAATAAATACAGGCTGAGAAAAGTAACTGCTACAGTTAAACAGATGGAATGGAAAACGAACCATCGAATTCGAGAGGTTTCCATTAGGGATTAACCGTTGAATTCAAAACGGTGTAACTGTGACCATCAAATAAAATTAATCACAACCATTGAAGCATATATTTGCTTTGGTATATATAGCTATACTTCTGTAAAAAAGGGTTTTACTTTTACTATATTTTCTATCGAAGTGCTGCCAAAATTTCTACTGTGCTTTTGCATTCGGACTTTTGCATTCTTTGTGGACTTCTACACCAATTTTACAAGACCAAAATCAAGTAACTTATGAATTTTAGTGATTCTAATTCTAGTGACGAGTATTATTCTCCTCTTACCTTTTCTGATTTAGATCTAAGTCCTTTGAAGGAGGTTAGGTTTAGGAGTGAGAGTGACATTGAGTGTGAGTTAAAGTTTTTTGAAAATCTTGACTTCATTCCCCACCCTACTCCATGCAGTGAAAGTTACGAAACTGAAGAAATGTCTAATAAGGAAACATTGAGCATTGGGGGAAATGAGGAAGTAAGGGCTTTGGAGTATGGTGACGTGGATGTGACAAGTGAGTCATCTGGTTCAGAGAGGACGAAGGAAGGGGTAGGAGGAAGTGAGATGGCTGAGGTTGAGGGAGAGGGGGTTCTCATAAATGTATTAGAAGTGGAAGGTAGAAATGAAAGGTGTTATGATTTTGAGGCAGATATTGTGGCTAAGGTTAGGGAGTATGAGTCTGAACTCGGGACTAGGGATAGCTTGGGTTATTTAGTAGAGACTTACAAAATTCCTCCCCGAATTCTAATTAGGCCTGCTGGAGTGAAGGAGAAGGCATGCTCTACACCTCGGGATCATTGGATGCCCATGCATGCTCACTATTTGGCAGCAGGGCTTAGGTTTCCAATTCCTGAACTCCTAGTGGGGTTATTGTTAGATTATAGCGTAAGGTTGACACAACTAGCCCCCAATGCTATGAGGGTAATAATAAGGTTTTTGGTTTATTACCAAGCTCAGGGGGCTATGGTGCCAACTGTAAATATGTTCAAATACTTTTTTGTTCTTAAAGGGGGGAGTAAGAAGGAGAAGGGTGGTATTATTTTACCCCTAAAGTGTCAAATAAGGAGAATATGAATTTGTTTATAACGGGTACTTCATCGATTAAGGGATGGAAGGAAAAATTTTTCTTCATTGATGACACTGAGTGGGAAAGGGGGGATTCTGAGGTAGAGTTTTTGTTTACCTAGAAGGCTAAGAAAGCCAACCAGAATAAGTATAGTTTGAATAGTGATGAAGAGGAAGAGGTGGGGAAGTTGGTGACGGAGGAAGGTGACAGTATAAATATCATGTACCTCACCAGCTCGGATGTCATAGAGGTTGCTGAGCTCTATGGGCCAAGCTCTTTGAGTGAAGGTGTGTTTATTTTTTGTATTGTGGTGTTTGGTATTAAATGTTGATTTATGTTTTTGACATTTTTTGTTGTTTTGCAGCGGAGATGGAGAAATTTTTGAGTTCTGTTAGGGGGGTGGCCATTCCTAAGAAGCCAAGGAAGAAGTCAAAGACTTCAAAGAATGGCGAGGGAGGGAGGAGCCGGGAAGGAGTTGGTGCCTAGCACCTCAGCTGGAGCTCAGTATGTTCTACCAAGGCCAGAGTTTAAGAGGAAAGGAAGTGAGGACATAGAGCTGCTTCAGAGGAAGAAGAAAGTGGTAGAACAGGAGGTGAAGAGGGATGAGGTGGTGGAGTTCGTACCTCGGCCCCCTTTTATTAAGCTCGAACCTAAAGTCAGGGAGGCTGAGGTTAGAGCCCCCGGTAAGGGAAAAGAACTCGTTCCTCCTTTTTCTTTTCATAGTAGCCTGTTTGACGACAAAAATACGACAGCTGCTAAGAGATTCTTGAACTCAACTCTTCCTAAGGTGGACCGAAATCAGGCCAGTAAAGAGGTGCTAACTCATGTGGGTGCTACAGTTGTTAGACACGCCCTAGAGGTATGTAAAGTTGTTTGGTAATTATGTTGTGTTGTTGTTGTTGTTGTTGTTGTTGTTGTTGTTGTTGTTGTTGTTTTCTTTTTTCTTTTTCTTTTTTTTTTTTTAACTTTAGTTTGAATTGTAGAGTGCAAGCTAGGTCAACGCTTTAGCTTAGGAGTTTGCTGATAGCGTGAAAAAGCATAGTAGCTTGCAGAAGTAGTGTGATAAGCTGCAAAAAGAGAAGGATGAGCTGGAGAAAAAGAATAAGGAGATGTAGGAAACACTGGATGAGGTGGTACCAACAGTGAAGCAGCTTCAAGATGAGAAAGATTCACTGAGCACCAAGCTTGTTTTTGAAGAGAGAAAAAGAAAGATCTCTGAAAACAAGCGCGATGCTTAGGAGAAGGAGATAAAAAAAGATGAAAGAAGCTATGGCCGAGTTGAAGAAGAATGTGGAGTTGCTGGTACATAATGCAATGGAGGAGCACATTGCAAAGTTCTTGAAGTCTGGCACGTTTGATGAGATAGTGAATCTGTATCGATTGCCCACTGTTATCTTGGCTTTCACGAACTGCAGAAAGAAGGTGAAATCGCAATATCCCGAAGTGGACGTTACAAGTATCACCTTTGGCAAACAAAAGGAATGAGTGGAAGAGAATGACAAAAGCATGTCAGCTAACTTTCGGCCTAAAGTGAAGTTGAGATGGGATCACGACATAGAAGGTTGTACAATTTTTCCTCCGAACTTCGACTTCAAGTTCGTTGCAGTGGAAGAAAAGGTTGCAGAGGTAAAGGGTACAGAAGAGGAAGGGAACCAGCCACCTCCTCCAGTGGAAGTGCATACAATTCCTTTAGAAGAGGGTCAGCCAACTCATCTAGAAGCAGGATAGCCACCTCTTCCTACTGAGGAAGAGCCACGTCAGCCACCTTTTCCTGTTGGGGAACAGCCACCTCCTCCAACGAAGTAGTTAGGGGTTCCATTTTTGGGTTTATGTCTTATGTTAAAATTGGAACAATTTTTATTTTGAACATTTTGTAATATTTATTAATTAATTTAAAATTTTTTGAAGTTAGTTTTGATACTTGTTCTATGTTTTATTTGTTTTACATCAACACAAGAACTGAGATGAAGTAAATCACTTCAAAGGTGATGTGAAATTCATTAATAAAATTGAAGTCCAAGGAATGAAATGATTTAACGAATTGACCTCGGAGATACAATCTAAGAGATGAAATGGATTTTAGAATGAGGAAATAATAATCATAAAGAAGAATAAGACCAAGTTCACTTGAAAGAAGTGTATTAAAGGTAAAATTTCTTCAACTTGTTGATATTCTAGACTCTAAGAACTCTCTTCCCTTCAACGTCTTGAAGAATATAGGCCCTAGGATGTGGCACTACAGCCACTGTGTAAGGACCTTCCCAGTTTGGGGCTAGTTTTCCAAAACGAGTTTCGAACCTCGTTAGACCAGCTTTTCTGAGAACAAGATCTCCTACTTTGAATGTTTGAGGTCAAACTCGTTTGTTGTAGAAGTTGGCTAGTTTTTGCTTGTATACCAAAGTTTGAAGTTGTGCTTCCTCTCTGACTTCATCAAGCAAATCAAGGTTCTTCCGAAGAAGTTGTCCATTTCGTCCTTCATTGAAATAGGTGATCCTAAAGCTTGGGATTCATATTTCAATTGGAATGACTGCTTCGATACCAAAGACCAAGTGGTAGGGTGTTTCACCTTTTCATTAAGTTATAGTTTTCAGAGTATGCTTTATATGTTGTGCATATTTGATCTAGGGTAAAGTCACAGAAGAGAAAATAAAATAATATGAAAGTAACTTGGGTTGGAAGTAGTACCTGTGGTAGTTTGGCTCGTAGTTCTATATGCCCAAAAGACTTTGTTGAGCTTGTCTGCCCACCTGGCCTTGTGCTGCTCCAACCTCGACTTTATTCCCTCTAGGATAGCTTTATTGACAGATTCCACCATACCATTGGACTTCGGATGGTATACCAAGGTAAACTATAGTTTGATCCCGTAACTAGAGCATAAATCTATGAATGAAGAGCAGTTAAACTGAATACTATTATTAGCCACAATCTGATTCGGGATCTCATGTTAGCAGATAATTGAGCTGAAAACAAAGTCTTCGACCTTTCTAGAGGTAAGGCTAGATAATGGTCGAGCTTCAACCCATTTCATAAATAATCAACACCAACAACCAGATGGGTTACATCTCCAACCCCTTTCATGAATGGGCCTAAAAGATCAAGTCCCCACTGATCAAATGGCCATGGTGCCACCAAGTTGGTGAGCTCTTATGCTGGTTGGTGAGTTAACTGTGCAAAGAATTAGCACTTCGAGCACCTCTGTACAAAGTGAGTAGCATCCTTATACATATTCAGCCAGTAGTATCCTTGTCTGAGGACTTTATGAGTCAGGGTTCTAGCACCAATGTGGTTTCCACATACGCCTTCATGCACCTCGTGAAGTGCGTATTCAACTTCATAAGGATTTAAGCATCGGAGGAGAGAGAGTGAGAAAGATCTCTTATAAAGGACTCCATCAACGAGTGTGTACCAAGACGCTTTCTTCCTCAACCTCATCTCTTCTTGCTTATCATCTTTAGGTACTAACCCATCTTGTAAAAAAGAGATAATTGGATTTGTCCAACTCAGTGTATTTGAGTCTATGTTGATCTCCATCATTTTTGGCTTCATGAAGTTCGGCTGATCTAAAACTTCAATAAAAACTGATATGGAGCTCTGAGAGTTATCTGATGCGAACTTAGAGAGTGAATCTACCTGTTCATTATTAGCTCGAGGTATTTTACTCAAACAAAATTTCTGGAATTTGCACCTCAGCTCAGCCACTAGGGCCATATACTTCATCATGATAGAATCAACCACCTCCTAGACGGAGTTAACCTGATTAACCACGAGTTGCGAGTCACTATGTATCTATATTGCCATGACTTTCAGTTCCAGTGCCAGTTGTAAGCCAAGTAGTAGAGCTTCGTGTTCGGCTATGTTATTAGTTGCATCAAAAGTAAATTTCAGGGCATGCTTACTTCGGTATCCATCTAAGCCAACTAGGATTGCGCCAGTTCCGAAGCCTTTATTACTTGATGCTCCATCAACATATAGAACCCAGTTATCCGACTCAGGCCTAGAAGTTGAGTGATCTGAGGTGCATTCTACAATGAAATCTGCTAATGCTTGAGCTTGGATTGTTGACCTCAGATTGTTGACCTTTATTGAAATGTTACCTCGAATTCCCTCGGTTTCACAGCCCATTTAATCAATCTTCCTAAACACTCTGGCTTTTGAAGAATCTGTCGAAGAGGTTGGTCTGTGAGGACTATGATTTGGTGTGACTGGAAATATGGCCTTAGCTTTTTAGCCGAAGTAACAATTGCTAATGCTATTTTCTCAGCAACAGGGTATCTTAGCTCTACTCCGTGTAGTATGCTGCTGATATAATAAACTGGTTTCTGTTGTTTCCCTTCTTCTTTCACTAGCACAGAACTGATCGCTTCATCTGAGATATCGAGGTACAAATAAAGGATCTCTCCATCTATAGCCTTTGTCAACAGAGGAGGTGAGCTTAGATAAGACTTCAGCTCATCGAATGCGGCTTGGCATTCTGAGTTCCATTCAAACCACTTCTGCTTGCCAGATTCATCCTTCTAGGCTACTGATCTCATGGTTTTAAAGAATGGCAAACATTGATCTACTGACTTTGATATAAATCTTTGAAGAGTTGCTACTCTTCCTATTAGCCTCTGCACATCCTTAGCTGAGTTCGGCGGCTCCATCTCGGCTATTGCTTTGATCTTTCTGAGTTAACCTCAATTCCCCTCCTAGACACCATGAAGCCTAGAAATTTCCCAAACTCCACACCAAATATGCACTTTGCTGGGTTCAACCACATTTTGTTCTTTCTGAGGTTGTTGAATGTTTCGTCGAGGTCAACTAGGTGATCTTTCACTTTCAAGCTCTTTACCACAATGTTATTGACATAAACTTCTAAATTCTTGCTAATCTAAGCTTGGAATACGATGGTTACCATTTTCTGGTAAGTGGCACCGGCATTTTTTAAGCTAAAGGGCATCATGACATAGCAATAGATTTCATCGCCTGCATAGAACGAAGTCTTCTCTTCATCCTCAAGAGCCATCAGAACTTGGTGATAACCAAAATATACATCTAAGAGACTTAATCTCTCCTTTCCAGAAGCTGTCTCAACCAATTTATCAATGCTCAACATTGGATAGCAATCCTTAGGGCAAGCTTGATTAAGGTTAGTATAGTCAACGCACATTTGCCATTTGTCATTTGCTTTCTTGATCAACACTGGATTGGCTACCCATTCATAGTAATTAACTCTTCAGACAAAACCAGCTTGCAAGAGTTTCTCCACCTTTTCCTTAATTACTTTAAGCCTCTCTCCCCCAAAGAGGCGCCTCTTTTGGGCTATTGGTTTCTTTCATGGATTGGTGCTAAGTCTGTGCTAAGATACCGAGGTGGGAATCCCTAGCATGTCTATTGAGGTCCAAGTAAAGAGGTCTTTGTTAGCTCGGAGGAAAGCTATTAGTTCTGCTCGTTCCTCTGGGTTTAATCAAGTTCCAATTTGGGTCGTCTTATTCGGATCTCTGTCATCAAGTTGTACTTCCTCTACATCCTTAACTGGAGTAACTCAGGTTTCATTTTCAGGTAGATTGTCTAGTATCTCAAACCCCCATTACCTACTAATTATCATGAACTTGCGGTGGAATGGTTTCTGATGTCTGATCTTTCCCTTTTTGAGGCCTTGTAACCGAGGTAATATAGCAATGTCTAGCCACCTCCTAGTTACAACATAATGTTGTTATCCCCATAGGCGTTGGGAACTTCACATAGAGGTGAGATTGAGAGACCACAACTCGGATTTCTATTAATGTAGGTCGGCCAACAACCACATTGAAAAAGGAAGCCATTTTGACAACCAAAAACCAAATTGAGGGAGTCACATAAGTCCGGCCACTTCCAAACGCAACATTAAGGGTAAGGACCCCTTCAACCTGAACAGGTTGGTTGTTGAATCCATATATGGGACCATTATACCTCTGCAACAGAGCTGGATCTAGTCTTAAGTTCTCAAAACAATGATAATACATAATGTCTGGTGCACTCCCTGTGTTAACAAGGATGCGTTGTACCTCACAGTTATTAATCATAACAGAAGTGACCAAAGGATCATTATGAGGTGTTACAACTGTATCAAAGTCAGCAGGTGTCAAAATGATTGGTTGGTTCTTCTAGTCAGCATCATCAAACTTTCTTTCCTTAGCTCTGTTTCGATGCTTCACCTCTCTGACATACAATTTCCTCTACTTGGAGCTCAAACCCCCTACTTCCAATCCTCCCATAATCATGTGTATAATTCTAGCTAGTGGCGGGAGTGAAGGTGGGGCTTGTTGATATCCCACACCTTGTATGTTTCCTACATTATGAGATCTCTGTGGTTGTGGCCCCTGTTCTCTGACAAACTTCAGCTGCTCTGTTCTCTGGATGTATTCATTCAGCATTCTCTTCTAAGCTAGACTTTCCAATTCGGGCCTCAGACTATTACATTCTTTCGTTGTATGACCGTGATCTTGATGAAAATCACAATATCTAGTATGATCACGTGTAGCAGCAGAACTTTTCATTGGCCGTAGTCACCTCAAATCCATTTTGTTCTTAATCTGCATGAATCTGCAACTAGACCTGGCAAAAATCCACCCGACCCATCAACCCGACCTTAACCCGACCCTTAAAAAACGGGTTAGGGTTTACATATCTCAACCCGCAACCCGTACATAACCCGTATTATCAACCCGAGCGGGTTACGGGTCGGGTTAGGGTCAACCCGCGGGTTGACGGGTTGACCCGTTTGTTTTATTTTTTATTATTATTTTTAAATATTATACTTATCATCCTTAATTAATTTTCCTATTGATAACTACTTCCATTAATTCATACTCCCAATTTCTAGAGAAAAAAAAAAGAAATTATGATAAGTTTGATTTAATTACCCAAGTATTATTATTATTATTATTTTTTTTTGGTATTAACAATTACCCAAGTATCATAAATGAAATGATAATGCAACTAAAAATATTAAAAGATGTGATATTAGGACGTAAACATAATAACTTAGTGAAAGATGTTCTTGGAAGAGTAATTTTATCATTAAAAAAATAGATTAAACTACTTAATAATGTTTCAAGATAATTATAAAATTAAAATTTTATTTTTCAAGAAATTTAAATATTTTACGTTTAATATTTTTATTATTAATCAATTTATTATTATTTATAACCTTTTTGTTTTTTTCTTAATTTAAATGTTTGTAATTGAAATTATAAAATATTCAGTGTTAATGAATCACAATATTTTAATTATATTTAGATATATATAATTTTATTTGTGTATAATAAAATTAACGAAAAATAATTATAAAGAATGAAATAAGGTTAACCCGCGGGTTAACCCGTAACCCGTTAGGGTCGGGTTAGGGTTAGATGTTTCCAACCCGCAACCCGTTTATAACCCAACCCGTCTAACCCGTCACCCGAGTTGACCCGACCATAACCCGACCCAACCCGCCCGTTTGCCAGGTCTATCTGCAACCTCGGCAGATTGAAAGGAGTCCCTATAACTGGTGCTTTATTGGTAGTTTTTTGGGGAGGTACCGAATTCGATCTTCTGAATCGCGGTGTGGAGGTTGACATCGGACCTCGATTCTGTACTGTCTTCATCTGCTTTTTGGTTTGACTCTCATCTCTCCAATCTGGGTTTTGATTCTTAGGAAAAACTGGCTTCTATGACAAGGCATATTTCTCAACAATTATGAATTTCAAAGATCTGTCATTAACCTCATTAAAAGTGGTAGCAGGATGTTTAATTAAGCTATCTCTGAATCTTTCATAGTTAAGACCTTGAATTACAGCTACAATTCCCACAGCTTGATTGAATGAGCTAACTTCTAAGACTGCATCATTGATCCTACTCATATAATTCTTTATAGATTCTCCATCCCTCTACTTGACTAGCATCAGTTCAGAATTGGTTTTCCTAATCAACCTTCTATTGTAAAACTTTGTAGCAAAAGTAGATTTCATTTCTGTATAAGAGCTGATAGACCTCAGAGGCAGACTGTAATACCAGGTTTGAGCATTACCGCGGAGAGTGGAGCGAAAGATTTTGCACATCAACGCATCAGAGACGTTCTGAGCTTGCATACAGGAGTAGAAAGCATGTAGGTGATCATCTAGGCCCTTTGTTCCATCACATGTCTCGAGTTGATGTATTTTGAAGCTAGTAGGATAAGGTTCCAATGTAATATTAGTGTTCAAAGGATGAGGTATGGAAGCAGTGTTATGGTGGGGAGGTGGAGCACCTCGCTACTCGGCTACCATTTTTTCTAAATTGTCCAAACGTTGTGTAACATCATCGGGTAAAGGTTGCTGAGCTGAGGCTACGTGAGACTAACCCTGAGACTCACTAAGTGCAGGAGCATGTTGATGATCATTGGAGCATTCTGGTTAGGGTTCTTGCTGTTGTATTAGAGGTTGTTGAGTTGGGTTTAATAGGTTAATGAAGAGATCATCGGGATTATTCCAAGCTAAGAGCTGAGCCAAAACCAACTGAAATGCACCGAACTACTGTTGCATGGTAGCAAGTTGAGCTGTGACACATCTCCCTGGTTGGGGGTGGGAGTTGAATTGTGAGTTGCATTGTGAGGTTGGTTCTCATCACCTCCTTCTGCATGTTCAACAGGAAGGAATAGATTTGGGATCTGAGGTGGGAGGTTGTTGGGGTATTGAGCTTGATCATGTCCAAGAGGTTGAGCCTGACTTCCAGTTCGGACAGATCGAGTGTTAACCATGATGTGAAAGCAACAAAAGAGCTTTTAAACGTGATCATGGGTTCAATTCCCACAGACGACGCCAATGTAATTGCACCAAACCAGAAGTCCTTCTTCAGTCTGTGTCTTCACTTCGGATGAACCTGCAAAGCCCCGAGGTGGATCATCGGGGTAGACACTTCGATCTTAAGTCAGCAATAATCGGATCTACCTTTAGAATAATGGAAAAAGCAGCTTTAGGTCGATTTCAATTACCTTTTTGAGGTGGCCCTTGGAGGGTATTTATAGGCCTTAGTGAGGTGCCCACGTGGCTTGCTTAACAAGATAATCGGAGTCTGATGTGTCTTTTCATGCGATAATTTCGAGGCTGGGAAATCAAGTGGGAAATTGGGTGTAGACATGTTCACTATACCTGTCATGTAGCCATTTAACCGAGAAGTGTTGGATTTAACTTCACTTCGATTATTAAGGAACCATAGCAGTACGTCTGAAGTTAAGGACTCCGGATCTATCCTTATAAACAACAATACAAATCTAAAACAAATTGGGAAACCACATATCAAAATTGAAGAGTCAATTGAACAAAAGACAAAGCCAACTCTAGGATCCCCAAAATCAATGAGAGAGAGAGAAAAGGGAAAAAAAAAAAAAAAACACAAAGAGACCCAAATCTAGGTTACTAATGAAACAACACATAACGTGGAGGAATCCATATTTGAGGTTCCTCATCAACATTGTTCGCACGATGTTACAACACAAGCAGCTTTCTTAATTTCAACCTCAATCGATGGAGAATCATGATTTTCAAGTGAAGGAAAAAGAAAAATGAAAGAACAAAAAAGAGAAACTCGAAGGTGATTCTAATGGAGAAATAGCGCTTCAACATCTTATTACACAAATAAAGGGGGGGAAAAAAAAGAAAAAGAAAAAGAAAGACATCATCAATGGAAACCCACAAACCAACTCAAGAAGTTAATTTCAATATGAAATTAAAAGTGATTATACCTTTTCCGAGGTTGATATTGCTTTTACTGTTGTTGGTTCCTCTATGGCAATGATTAAATGGTCTCCAAACCATCACCATTTGATCATCACATTTGGTTCCTATGTGCGAACCCACCAAAATGGCTTAATGGGACCATGACTAGTGACTGACTATGGTTTGATTTGTTCAAGTTCACTAAATTGATATAGTACTTGCAATTCGATTTGGACTCATTTAAGTTATCGGTTGAGAACAAAGACCATAGAGATTATTGGGGTGAGGA